TCTTTTCTCTGTATCTCCCAAGTTAATTTCTTCTAATGGATCTTGGGTCCCCACCTTTTTGTGACTAGTCATAATAGATTTTTCAAATCCTAAATGTGAATAATCATAAATACAATCTAGTCTAACTTGATCATTATCATCTACATTTGTCGAATATATCAACTTATTTATTCCTACCTTACTATTATTACTTTCTTAACTCTTTCGTCTCTCGTTTTCATATCCTCCTAATCGAGCCAAGAACTCCTCATAACCTTCATGCATTTTCATTGGCCACTTCGAGGTTGGCCCCCTCACTCTTCAGTACAAACCATTTTTTCACATTCATTTCCAGGAATCGTTCCTCATGCATTTTTGAATTAAAACCCTCGATAGTCTCGAAGGTAAATGGCTGAGTGAGCGCCAAATTTTGGAGAGACCGACCAGCCTAAGACACGAATTTTACGAACTCGTGTTGGTCTCCTTGAATCACTTCGAGATGTCCATCTCGATTTCACATAAATAACTTCTGATGAGCAGTAGAGGGCACTGCTCCAACTCCATGGATCCATTCTCTATCCAGTAATGCATTGAAATTTGCATGCGATTAGGCTACCACAAAAACAGTAGGCCTCGAATAAGTACCCACTTTCACATCTAAGGCAATCATGCCTTCTGAACTCGATGATTTCCCATTGAAGTCAGAAATCAAGATATTGTGCTTGATTAAATCTTTCAAATCGGCACCGAACCTCTTTAACATAGTGATTGGCAGTATGTTTACCGCCACACCACCATCCATAAGGACTTTATTCATCCTCTGTCCTTGTATCTCAATATTCAACATCAAGGGTTTCAAGTGAAACCTCATTTCCTCTGATGGAGAATCGATAAAATCGGTGTCTCTATGGGGAGATTCACATGACACTTGCGTCACACACGTCACTTTTGGTCTCATTTCCTCAGAAAAGAAATCATCCTCTCGATAAACATCATTTTGTTCCTGAAATTTCTCATATTGATTAACATACTCTGCAGGTAGTATTGATATCACTCCAATATGCTGTCCAACCCTATTATCATCCTTACCGTTGACAAATTTTTTCTCAAACTCATTTAAATCAAACTCTATATCTTCCTCTGATATGTCCGTTTTGACATGTCTAGGATTAACGTCTTCAGTAATATCAACCATAACTATAAAGGCTGAATTTACCAATCGGGCATCTTCAGTAATTCCTGACTGAGACTCAACATATCCCACCTGAACTTCAAATGGAGTAGTATCCACTTTCATCGACTTCTCCTCAAATTTTAACCTTCCTTAGTCGATTGCATCTTGAATTGTGTTCCTGAAATGTATACAATTATTAGTCCAATGTCCATAAATATTATGAAATTTGCAATATTTTCGACAATTTCTTTTATCTAAAGAAGGTAATTTATGATCATCACTCAATTTAATCTATTTATCTTTCAATACAATATCAAAGATTTTATCTGCTTTTGTTACATCGAAAGTACATGTTTGATTTGTCATTTTGTCTTTTACCTCGTTTTTCTGTAACAATTTACAAATATAAGGAGCTCCCACTTTCAGTTCTGCTATGTTTACTTTCTCATCAATAAAATCTTCATTTTCTACCTCTGTCTTAGGATTCTCTTCATATATTTCATTTATATATGCTACCCTATCTTTTTTTATAGGTTTCTCAAATTTCTTCTATATTTTCTTCTCATACTCGATTTGTTCCACTCTTCTTACTTTATCGGCGAATTGAGTCATGTCACTCAAAGGTAGATTAACCAACTTTTTCCTAATCGAAAATTCTAACCCAGCAGCAGCCATCCTAACTAATTCAAATTCGGGAATCTAAGTGAAACATCTTGATTTCATTTGTCTAAATTTATTCAAATAATCATCTATACTCTCATGATTATACCTTTTTATATTCATTAAGTCGATGAGACTTACTTGAGTTTCTCCCCTAAAAAATTGCTCATGAAAATTTCTTTCCAAGTACAGTCAATTATATATCGAGTTAGGTGGCAAAGTGGTAAACCAAGTGAAGGTATTCTTTGTTAATGAACTAGGAAAGTATTTCATTTTTAATTCCTCATTCATAGTTATATCTCCACATTCGATTTGATATCGTGTCACATGCTCGATAGTGCAGCCAATTAGTTATATCTCCTCATTTTTAATTCCTCATGAAAATTCATTTCCAAGTGCAGCCAATTATATATCGAGTTAAGTGGCAAAGTGGTAAACCAAGTGAAGGTATTCTTTGTTAATGAACTAGGAAAGTATTTCATTTTTAATTCCTCATTCATAGTTATATCTCCACATTCGATTTGATATCATGTCACATGCTTGATAGTGGATTCACCGATTTCTCCTGCAAATTTTGTGAACTTAGGTACTTTATATCCTCGAGGTAATTCTGTCTCGAGAATCGTATTTAGAAAAGGAGAAACAAAGTATGGTTGGTTAAGTGGTCTTAATTTCACTCCTTGGGGATTCATCCTTTGACCCAACAAATGATTATACTGCATGTTATTCTAATTATACACATTTTGAAACCCACCATTTAAATTTTCGTGAGCATCATTCCTCATATGCAGATATTGATCAGCATTTCGATTTCTCCTTAATAAATAAGGGCGATAAATATTGATGTTTTGGTTATTGTCTTGATTAGCATTATTCTCAACCCCCGTTTGTCGAGGTATTGCCAATGCACCCCCGATACGTGTCATTTGATCTGTTAATATCTCAAAACTACTAGTAGTGTTTTGAATTAATGGGTTTAATACTGTAGTCAACTGTTGTGACAACACATTGACCATCTCAAAATTACTTTCATCTATTTGTTGTCGAAACACCCCCAATGAATTACTGGAAATTCCAGTACTAGCATTTTCGATAACATCGAAATTAGATCGATGATAATCTCTATCGAATGCATATCTCCCATGATCCAAATTTTCTCTGTTATCCTGGTTTGGAATTGGAGACATTTGTTGTGTCCCTACACTTTGCATATTTCTTGGATTCTGAGGTGTTACTAAATTTTGAGATATACCTAAATTCGGGAATACTCCAAAATTTTGAGGCATTCCTAAGGTTTGAAATTTTCCCAGGTTTTGGGGCATTCCTAGGTTAGGTCTCATATTTCGTTGTACTGTAGTACCAGCCTCATTCATATTATTAAAAGTAAATTCAGGCGGTCTTACACTCATATATGGACCTGCAAATGTTGTTACGGGGCTTCCCGTAGTTTGCATATTATTTTTCATTATATTCCCAGACCCTATTAATTGAGTATTTTCTAACGTCCCTTGGCTTTGTTTATGATTCACTAGAATTGATGCATTCACATTTGATGATATTATAGACATAGTTCCATTATGAACTTGTCCCCCAGTTTTTGGTGGATTTAGATTATTAGGAACCTCACTGTTACTCTGATTATTTAAGGGATTTTGATTCATTCTTACTATTCGTCCACTCCTTAATCTCATACACGAACTAGCCAAATTTTGTGTGTTTAACACATCGTCCCTACCTGGCGCGCCAATTTGTTTCTGGTGAAATTTTTTATTTTGTTCTGATTTCCCAAAGACTAAGTTCTAACCAAATTTCAACTACCGTAAGTTCTTTTTATTTAGACTAGCAAACAAAGTTTTTCAATCAAAACGTATGAAACGATAAATTTAAGTGCGAAACACGGAAAACGTATTTAAAAGCATACAGGTATCAACACTACTCAAATAAACAGTTATATCCAATCGAAAGAAAGGTTGTTCAACAACAATGGATAAATAAACTATATTCATTAACTTAAAAACGAAAGTTCTTTTTTTGTATTTTTTATTAAGAGACTTCATAACATGAAAATCGGCAGAAATAAAATTAAGTGTAAACGATATAACATGAAAGATTATGTAAAATAAGAGACATGCAAATCCATGTAAAGCAATTAAATAAAGATAAATTAAGGAACGAAGAACACGAACTTAAATTTCATGTAAATAAATTACCAGGAAAAGTAAATAAAGCGGTAAAAGATATCGAAGCAAAAAGTAATACATAATTTTAAATTGCACAAGAGTAAATTATCAAGAAATTGAAATAACTGAAAAGTACAGAAAGGTAAATTTAAATTACATGTAAATAAATTATCAGGGAAAGTAAAGAAAGCGGTAACAAAAGTCGATACAAGTGGAAATACAGATTGTCAGAAATTCCATGATCGTCGTTTTCCAGTAGACTTGTACAATAGATTTCTGATACCTCTGAAAATCCCCTACCTTCTTCACGTTTGTTCTATTTATAACCTTCCCCAACCTAAGAACGATTTAGAAACCGCTACCCCATGTTCCCATGCGCGAGATAATTGCTCCCCTCGATTTCGACCCCAGACAGTACTTTGAACTGTTTCTGACCACCTAAGAACAGTTTAGAAACCGTTACCCCATGTTCCCATGTGCAAGATAACTATTTCCCTCTATTTCGACTCCAGACATCGAATACTTGAACTGTCTCTGACTTCCCTCAAACTTAACTTAACACTCGATACTTATTATCGATTTTTTACTCCCAATCATGTTCATCGATTTTCCTCTATCCTCTTTCGATTCATATATTGATTTATCTACTTTCCAATCTATATCTCGATTTATCCGTTTTTCGATTCATATCTCGATTTTCCCCAACACATGGTCATCGAATTTCTTCTACCTACTTTTCGATTCATATATCGATTTTCCCCAACATATGGTCATCGAATTTCTTCCACCTACTTTTCGATTTATATATTGATTTTTTCCATCAACAATATGATAATAAAAAAACTCTTAAATCACATCATCATAGTTATGCTACACAAACCTACAGTAACAAGATGAACCGAAAAAAACGCTCGAATCAACTTGAGAAATGCCTATAGTAAAGCCTCTGGTCTGGTCCTAAGCAACAATTATACCTTTAGATGTGAGTTTCAACAATTACATTGTGACTATTCCTTTGCTAGCCTTGCCTCAAACCCCCCTCCAGGCCTCTTTACAAGATTGAAAGGCATGTATGTCCCAAGAAGTTTGTCCCATATGGAAAAGAATGGCTGAGAATAATTGTACTTCAGCCCTTGCAGTTGATGATGGATGTCATGGTAAGCTGTGTTGTTCTGGAAAAACAAATGGAAGATGTTGCCAGGCAACCTTAGTCCACAGTGATCATCAACAGCTTTCACCATAGTGAAGCAGAAGAACATAACTGCTGTTCTTGCAGTCATCCCTGAGATAAGAAATGAGATGGCACCACCTATAGTGTCAAGTAGAAGACCCTCAATGGGGTGATTGTAAAGGGTTCCTATTGCATACGGAACAACCAGTGTGTGATGCCAAGAGTGGACATGGCGATATAAAAACTTGTTCTGATGCATGTACCGATGGACAAAGTACTGCCATGTGTCCATGACAAACATCGCAATAAGGAACTGCAAGATTTGCTTGGCGATAGAAGGTTGCTCTACAACCCCAGATGCTTTTGTCGTTGTGGTCAACTGCAAAGTTGCAGCAAGCATATCATTATCATTATCAGTCACTATCAGAAACAGCTAAGAATGTCAACAGAAAATTATTGGATTTCTAACAGTGTAAGCAATTTCTCTCCCTCGGGCATTTATTATGATAGGTCCGCTATAAGAGGCATATAGAAACTTCAAAGAGTTTGTTTAACTATTTAGCACATATAAGACATCATTTAAGAAGCAATAGCCAAGCTCTAGCAATATAATGGCTTCTATTCTATACTTTAATTCCTTAACTTGAACCTCTTCGAGTATATAGAGGCCAGGCTAATAACACGGTAGCTTCATCAGATTGCAAACAGGAAAGCCTAGAGAAATAAAGAAATAACCAGATGAAAATGATATACGATCTGCTCAACTGACTAAACAAGATCCACTACAACAACAACCTCTATCCTACTAGGCGGTGAAACTTGAATAAAGATTCACAAAAAAGATAAATACTTTAATATGTTTGAACAGAACACAAATTAGTCAGAATTATGGCTAGAGCAAATCTCAGGGTCTATTAAAATTTATTATACAGATTAAACATATTAACTTGCATGAAATAGCTCTTAAATAATGATTCTTCTACTGTTAATATGACAAGGTGAAAGGGAAGTCATAGGGCAACAGATTGTGTGAATTTGTTAGTGTCATTTCAGATAATAAAGAAGACACTTCTTTTCCCATAAAACTCAAGCATAACGCTGATAATTTAAGATGGCTTTGTAACACAAGAAAAGACAGGATACAAAATGAATGTGTATGAGAAGAGATATATTTGGCGCCAATTGAAGAAAGGATAACAGAAAATGGATTAAGATGGTTTCGACATATATTTAAATGCCATGAGAGGCACGGTGAAAATAATAGATTGTAGCTTTCAGTCCTATGAAGAGGATGGCAGGGAGATCAAGAAGAAACTAAAGAAAGTTGTCTAGAGGGATAAGGCTTTGGGGGTGGTGTTCTTATACTGTCTCCAAATGTTGATTTCACTTTCTTACTTTTAAATATTTCTCTTCTTTCGTTAGGGCTAGAAAAGTGGATTATAAATTCAGGCTATTCACATATCAAGCAATTGGTTAGATCACTCCATGAATATGCCACACCATGCAATTTGGTAGATCACATATAGAGACACATTGTGCCACCGTGCCCAAACTGAAAATATGTTTTACATATTTGAAACTGTACAAATTCATGCAAAACAAAAATTATCACTCTTAATGTTAAAGAAACAACTACCTCATTTAAGTCAATGATCCCTCTCTCTCTTTCTCTCTCTGTGTATTTCCGTCTGTTTCTCCTTTTCGCTTTTCATTCAGTATCCTTGAACATATACGTTTTCAAAATCACTCTGCACACTGCACTAATAGAAGAGTCACCTGGGCTCTTCTTCTGGCTGGGTTTTCCTAATATTACTCTTGATTTGGACTAATTTTGGGTTTTAAAGTTGTTTAATCAAATAATTGGGCCAAAGGTATTTATGTAACGGCTTTTATATTTAATGCAAAAAAATCTAACTCTCACATCACTCATGTCGTATTAGGGATGACAATTAAAATAGTATTTGTGGGGACCAACCCGTACTTGTCCCGAATTTGACGGGGAAAACCGGAGTTGACCGGGGGGACGGATTCGGGTTTTCTTCGCTTTAAAAAGTCGGGGACGAGGACGGGGATGGTCCTCACCCCGACTCCGTCCCCGCCTCGCCTCGACTTTATATTTAAATTTAAAATTTAAAATATTAATACTTTTAAATGTATTTTCTTTTCTTTTTCTATTACATATAAGGTTATTTTTTTAATATTTCACTAATTTTTATTTTTCTTCTACCCACTTTTAATATTTTTTGTCTTTTTTAATCTTTTATATCAATTAATTTATTACATTATTCTCTCTTACCTTTCTATTTTTTATATTTCCTTAATTTCTCCTATTAATTTATTTATTTTTTTAATCTTTTCAATCAATTTGATGAACACAAAGTAAATTTTTTTTCTTCTTTATCTTTTTCTAAATATTTTACATAAATCCTAGTAGTAACTAATATTATTTTATTTATAATTTATATTAATTAGGTTTTATTATGTCATATTTTTTTATCTTATTATTCTTATTTATCATATATCAAATTTTATTTTAATAAAATATTTATATTTTAAAGGATTAAAAAAATTGATAATTTAAACTTTTATTACTTCGAAATAATTAAATAAGAATTAACTTATTAAATATTTTCTTATAAATTATATATTTCATATTTTTAAATGTCAACTTAAAAATGAATTAACTTATATATAATTAAATGTTTGATATAGTATCATAAGTATTCAAATATTTGAATAGTATAATAATAATAATAATATAAATATTCTCTCTATATATATAAATAAAAATAATTAAATATTTTTTATAAACATATTTTAATATAAATATAATAAATTAAAATGTATATTTAATTAATAATAATTATAAAATTATAAATATTTATTTATATAAAAAAATATATAATAAATTTAATTTATTATAAATGTAATTATCTTTTTTAAAAATAATATACATCGACGGGGTGGGAGTGGGGACGGGAAATCTGAAACCCTGGAGACCCCGACGATAATCGAATACTGGAACGAGGATGGTTAAAAAAGTAATGGAGAGTAAACGGGGAGGAAAAATCTGCCCCACCCCTGTCCGTTGCCGTGCCTATCCCGTATCATTTTGTAAAAAAATAAAACAAAGTGGCCCTTGTCTTTTTAAGATGGAAAGGGAGATACGAAAAACATAAAGAGTCATTTTCCCTTAAGATAAACAAGGATGAAAGCTACAGAAAAAGAACAATTAGGTTAGATCACTCCATGAATATGCCACACCATGCAATTTGGTAGATCACATATAGAGACACATTGGATAATCAACCGAATCAGAAACTAGAAAATGGAAAAACAGACTAATTTTAAAAATGCTACTACCAACAAATTTGAAGAATAGCATCAGCAAGCAACTGCTCATACTTGAATAGTTTTTTCAACTAAAAAACTATGTTTACTACAAATTTTACCGTAGAAATTAACTAAAATGTAGAAGAACTGACCAAGAAGAGAGTAACAATTGCCTGAACAAGCTGCTGAAGCAAAACACCCTTCACAACTGTTGAAAAGGGAACCAAATTCTTCTTTTCCTCGTCTTTCCTAGTATGCAACCGATACTTGTCTAAAGGGGGAGCAAGTGATAAAATCCAGCATATACCCAATAAACCACGATAGGGGCAAATGTGCCCATCAATTCATCGCTCACATATCCTTCCCAGAAAACCATTGCACAGGTTCAAATGTGGAAACGAGACAATTTCAAGCAAAAACAATCCAACCCAGAAACAAACTCAGCAAGTCAAAGCTGCATTACAGCTCAAGATCTTAACTAGGACAAGTTCCTCCACTCTTTGAAAAGAAAAATCAGAACTGTTTACTTGATGGGCAGACACAAGAAGAAACAAAAAATAACCAATGGCGATAAGAGCCACAGAACCAATGGCGATAAGAGCCACAGAGTTTGCATGTTTCGAACGAGACAAACACCGACAGTTGTGAGATTCCGAAGACCTTAAAAAGTTTGAATTTTATTGTTTTTTGCGGTGTATCCTATCCCTCAGACAAAAGAAACGTTTTTATCATTTTCTTTTTCTCCTCTCTGTGACCTAATTTTGATGTTTGAGAATATGAGAGAAATAGTGAGATACACGTGTTGGAAACTCATGATCTTGATCAAACCATCACCATCGTTTAGAATGAGGTTTTTTTTTTTTTTTCCTTTAATTCGACAAAATAACAACATGTTTTCTTATATATTTTCTAGGCCTAGTTTATTTTGTAAGACATTCATTTCTCAAAATAATAATAGTTTTAAGTAAACTTTTCATTTATTATGTTAATGTAATGTTGATGTCATTTGTAATTAAATATGACAAATATTTTATTTATAAAAAATATAATCTAAATACATTAATTATAAATATTAATTAGTTTTGACTAAAATTTCACAACTTTAAACATATATTTTCCATAAATGAAAAGTAAAATTCTCATTAATGATTTATTTTGTATTATTTTATAGATAAGCATGGTTTAAACTATGTTAGTTAATATTTTGAATATATAAGCTACAGTGGTGTGAGAAGTTAACGTGACTATGTTACCACCTTAAGGTACAATGTTTGTGGGAAAAACTATAATTTTACCACAAAATTAAATAAGAAAAAAAATATTTTCATTCTAGCTTGAATGATTAGAATAATATATTTTAAAAAATTATTCAAAAAAATTTTATAATTTTTTTTTCAATTTTAGAATTTTCACATTATATTGTTATATTAATAGGAGGTTAATATTCTTTTATGGTAAGACTTTCTTTTCTTTTCTTTCTCTTTTAAGGTAAGGGTGTGTTATTAGTTAATAAAAAAAATATTAATTATAATAAATACTTTTTATCCAAATATTTCAATTAATTATTTACAAATATTTATGATTATATTATATGTAGTAAGTATATTAAAATTAACAGAATTTAGATGAAGAGACGAAATTGAAACAGACTTAAAATATAAAAAACCAAATTAATAATTTATTGATAATAAGAATAAACTAAACAAAATAAATGTATAATAATAACTAAAAATACTTGAATATAAAAACTTCTAAATTATAAAAATGATAACTACAATGTAGTTACTTTTCCACAAATTTAGCAACCTAGTCATAAAAGTGTGACATTATAATATAAACGAGTTAGCACAAGTTAAAGGTTGTCAATGTCATTTCAAAAAGTCTCCAAGTTACCTTTGAACTTTTTAAAGTATGGATGAACTTTCAAAAAGGCTTCTTACGAACTTCAAAAATAGTTGTCCTACAATGAAATTCATATTCATGATATGACTCAAGGTTCTAAATTTGTAATCTTTAGCATCAAATTCAGTACTAGGATCTTTGTCACTATGTCTTTTATTGTCATTGACAGGTTTATTTTTTATCTGATATTTGACCCGTGTGTGATGTTAGACAAATGACATCTAGAGGGGTGAATAGATGCACAAATTAAAATAGATGTCAAATTAAAAATTTATTTGTAAGTCAATAATTTATTTGAACACAGATAAAGTGGAGATGATAATATAATCAGGAAAAGAGAAGAGCACACAGAGATTTATACTGGTTCGGGTATAGTCAACCTTACATCCAGTTCTCAGTCAACTCTTAACACAAGATTGACTCCCAATTACTATCTTTCAAATTCAGTTTATAAATTACAATCAACTCAGCAGAAGAACCAGTAAAAAGTAAACTAATTAAAAAGACAATCACCTCCTTAAAAACCCACTAAGGATGAACACCTCCCTAGAATCCCACTAGGGATGAACACCTCCTCTTAACAAATCAAAGGATGAAAAACACCTCCTTAGAATCTCACTAAGGATGAACACCTCCCTAGAATCACACTAGAAAACATCCTTTGAACAAACCAAAGGATGAAAATACCTCCTTAGAATCTCACTAAGGATGAACACCTCCCTAGAATCACACTAGAAATGAAAAATACCTCATTTGTCACCAATACACAAAGGATGAAGGTAATAATAAAAATAAGAACAGTCACACCTGGATAATGGAGACAACCAATTGTAGAAGCCTGTAGAATGTTAATCTCCAAAAACAAGTGTGATTAACAATGAAAGCACAGAAGGCAGTAGAGAAGAGGGTTTTCTCAGAAGGTGTAAAATATCTATGTTGCCTTGCTCGAATTCTATTCTCAAGATTGATTGAATGTAAATTGTATTTTCGAATTTTATTTTTCATCAAAAATTAATTAAATAGAAAAATAGCATCAGAAAATGGCCATTGGACATTAATATTTTCATGAATAAAAATTAGGATATATTTAAAAACATTTATTCTTCAAAACAGATATATTTTTCAAATTTGAATTGCCATAATTGATTATGTTACCAGTATAATCAATTATGACAAAGAAAATCATTTTTCCATTTTTGATGCATCATAATTGATTATGATAGTGAAAAATATCACGTTATGAATTTTATCACACTTGTGCTTTGGAGGCTTATGCATAATATTACTTCATCAACTTGTACCTCCATATCCAATATTCTAAGACTCTATCTAGTCTTCAGGAATCATCTTGTGCTTGCTTGAATCATCATCTTTATCAAAAACATATCTTGGGCATGTAGGGAAATGTTTCACATTGTCACCAAAGTCATAAATTCAGCTTGTTCTTAATTCATCTTGAATGGTGTTGACTTGAATGTAGTTGACTTGAATCATCATCAAAATCATCTATTGGGAATGTAGGGACATTTCCATAAATCTCCCCCCCCCCATTGCTTTCAATCTCCCCCTTTTTGATGATGATCAAGGAAACACCTGAAATGAATTAAAATACTTGACTCTATATAGTCAACTCAAGATTAACACAGATTTGTATCAAGAGTCAGAGTCTCTTAATCTCCCCCTAGATATATTAATAACAAGACTCCCCCTAACTCATATGAGCAAAGACTTCTCTTAACTCCCCTGGTTTAATTTAGAGATAGGAAAGAATTTCACACAGATTTTAATTCATCAAAAAATCTTCCCTTGTTTCATTGATAATCATAAAAATATTATAAGAGGAAAAAAAATCTCCCCCTATCTCACACAGATTAATATCATCAAAATATCTCTATGTTTTATTGATAATTATGAAAAATATTACAATAGAAACTGAGAACAAATTTGCACATTACAAAGTGTCATAGAGAAGAATATCATATTAAGGAGGCAATATCTAGAATACCCAAGACAAATGAAGAGAGAGAAAGATAGGGGAATAAAATGATTATAGAAATAATGGAATGAAATGCAGTAGTTTTCCCCAATTGCAGTCTTCTTATTTAGGCGACTTTCAAATTCAAATGCACTCATTCCAGATTTGCACATCAAAATATCTCTCTGTTTCATTGATATTATAATGCATTAAAAAGTGTCATAGAGAAGAATATCATATTAAGGAGGCAATATCTAAAATACCCAAGACAAATGAAGAGAGAGAAAGATAGGGGAATAAAATGATTATAGAGATAATGGAATGAAATTCGGTAGTTTCCCCCAATTGCGGTCTTCTTATTTAGGTAACTTTCAAATTCAAATGCACTCATATTCCGCATTTCAAATTTCAAATTCAAATTGAAACAAATTTCAAATTCAAATTCCAACAAATTCCAAATTTCAAATTCAAATTTCTAATCCCAAATTTCAAATTCAAATTTAAAATTCCAATTCAAATTCAATTTCAAAAATCTCAAACTGCAAAAATTTCAAATTTCAAAATCTCAAACTACAAAATTTCAAATTTCAAAAATCTCAAATTGCAAAATTTCAAATTTCAAAAATCTCATAATGCAAATTTAAAAAAAAAAAACTCAAACTGCAAAATTTCAAATTCAAAAATCTCAAATTACAAAATTTCAAATTTCAAAAATCTCATACTCGCAAATTTTAAAAAAAATGTCAAACTGCAAAATTTTAAATTTCAAAAATCTCAAATTGCAAAATTTCAAATTTCAAGAATCTCAAACTGCAAAATTTTAAACTTTAATAATTTCAAATTTTCATAAATTCAAACTTTCAAAATTCAAACTTTCAACATAATTGATTATGACAACAAGAAAAAAAAATTCAATTCTGATAATCAATTAGATACTCAAACTATCATCTAGACATGTATAAATATTTTGTTCCTTTAGGCATTCATTCATATTTGTCATTAGATATGCCAAAATGTTTTATGTAACATCTATTTGATGTATGACCTAACATAATATCATGCAATAAAAACATGTTGGTTTTCTTTGAAAAGGTCTAAATGAGTTTCTTAAAGTTTTTGAAACTGGTTTCACATCTGTTTTCCTTGACTCTTTCACAAAAATAGTTTTATGAGGTTCTAGACTTTCTTTGGGTTTGTAACCAAGTCCAGCTTTGCTAGAATTCCCTCTTTGATAACCTAATATAAAATCAAGATTTTCAGAAGATTTTGAAAACTTGCTTATTATTTTTTCTAACTTGAAAATCTCATTTTCCAAATGATTGCAATTTTCACAAGGTTTAACAACTTCTTTATTTTTAGACAAAGTTTTAAATTTCTCAACATCTTTCTTTAAGCACTCATTTTCTTTTTCAAGAATACCAACAATATTTTCTAATGCATTGAACTTTTGTCTAAGTGTATTCTATTTCTTAGATAACTTGGTAAAACCTTCATACATA